TCAACTCTTACTTCAGCTATACTGAAAAATGTGTCTTAATCTCTCTAAATATGCTCTGAATCCAAACAAAACATGGAGCACTGCAGGAGAGCAGGGAACATAAGGTGTAATTGCAGAAGTAGAAAATGAGAAAGAGCTCCTTGCTGCATTAGTAATTTGTGAGCCTAACATGAAACAGTAGATTCTAGAGCAGTGATGGCAAACCTTTTGAGCTCAGCGTGTCAGCATTTTGAAAAACCTTAACTCTGGTGCCGTGTCACATATAGAAATTTTTTGATATTTGTAACCATAGTAAAACAAAGATGTATATTTTTGATACTTATTTTATATATTTAAGTGCCATTTAACAAAGAAAAATCAACCCAAAAAATGAGTTCGCGTGTCACCTCTGACACGCGTGTCATAGGTTCGCCATCACTGTTCTAGAGTGTCATACCATGCCTACTACCTGCCACACTATCCCAGAACAATAAACTAGAGCAGTGATTTTCAACCTTCTCATCTCATGGCACACATAAACTAATTACTAAAATTCTGCAGCACACCAAAAAAATATATTTTTTTCAATCTGACAAAAAAAGGATATAATTTTGATTCATTCAGACTGAAAGACTATTGTGTTAGCTGTTGTCATTTTTTTAAAATGACAATCTGAAGGAAAAGAAGTCAGTGTCCCTAAATAAATGATCAGGTATTGCATGTTTTAAAAATTCTTGCAGCACACCTGCTTAAGAACATTGAATTAGCCCTAGCTGGTTTGGCTCAGTAGATGGAATGTTGGCCTGAGGACTGAAGGGTCCAGGTTTGATTCCCAGTAGGGTGCATGCAGAAGGCAGCCAATCAATGATTCTCTCTCATCATTGACGTTTCTCTCTCTCTCTCACTCTTTCTCTCCCCGCCCCCCCCCTTTCTCTCTGAAGTATATTTTTTTAAAAAAAGAACTCTGAATTCAAGGGAAAGAAAAGATGTAAAAAAGGGTGAGCAAAAGGAGGCCCTCCAAATTTAAAACCATGACTCATGATGCTGCCATGGAAATCCCTCTTTCTAGGTGTCCCTTTGGGAAGAGTTAGCAGGGGTTATGATGGAGAAAGAAAGGAAGATGGCCAGTAGCTCATCCTAATCCTGAGAATATAGAAACTACCACAAACAACAAGAAAAGGGTATGATTTAGTCTACTGAAAAAACTGGAATATAGCTAAGAGAAGATAATAAGAACATCAAGTATCCATTCAAAAATAGAGAAGAAATAAAAATAAAAACATTACGACAGCCCAACAACAGCCATCCACTGTGAATGCCCTCTTGAACCATAAATATATGGGTCATATAATAGTTGCATCTTTTTAAAAATATATATATTTTATTGATTTTTTACAGAGAGGAAGGGAGAGGGATAGAGAGTTAGAAACATCAATGAGAGAGAAACATCGATCAGCTACCTCCTGCACACCCCGTACTGGGGATGTGCCTGCAACCAAGGTACATGCCCTTGACTGGAATCTAACCTGGGAACCTTCAGTCCGCAGGCTATCCACTGAGCCAAACCGGTTAGGGCTAGAGTTGCATCTTATTGGTCACACTTCATAGTAAGGTTGCACCTGATTGATTAATTCTTGGTACCAGAAATCCTTATACACAAGTATAGGCACTAGCTTTTTAACAGTCACTATAGAGCAAAAAGGGTAGGTAATTACTATTATTTTTTTGTAATTCAATCAAAATCATACCTTTTTTTAATCAGATGGGCTAAAAATATATTTTGGTGTGCTGCAGAATTTCAGTAATTAGTGTGTGTATGTGTCATAAGATGAAAAAGGTTGAAAATCACTGTATCAGACTATTTCCACTTGCCTTAATTACCCATGCTAGTCTTTGAGTATCGCTTCCAATATCCTTTTTGCTATTTCTAAATATCAAATACACTCTCCTCAAAGATCATAGCTCTGAAATCACTGAGAAATTTGGAGACATTTAAATCTGTTGGAAGCTCAGATAGCAATACCCAAAGGAGTTTTAAAAATGTTATTACTGTAATAGAAGTGCTCTTTTTAACATTAAAAAAAAATTTACATTAAAATTATGGTTCTGCCCTAGCTGGTTTTGCTCAGTGGATAGAGCGTTGGCCTGTGGACTAAAAAAGTCCCAGGTTCAATTCCCGTCAAGGGCACATGCCCGGGTTGTGGGCTCGACCCCCAGCTGGGGGCATGCAGCAGGCAGCCAATCAATGATTGCTGGGGCATGCAGCAGGCAGCCAATCAATGATTCTCTCACATCATTTATGTTTCTTTCTCCCTCTCCCTTCCTTTCTGAAATCAATAAAAATATATTTTAAAAAATAAAATTATGGTTCTCATCTTCATGCAAAGCCATGTATGACAAAACTATGAAAATATTTTATAAGAATAAAAGAAATCATCTTTTTCAATAATTCTAAGCATTGTTAGAAAATACATGCAAAATCCTTAATATTTACAAAACCTTTGATGTACAGTTTATATACTAATAATTATGATAAAGAACACAACAGTAACAAAAGCTCTTTAAGAATTTTGACCTGCAATACTCTAGCAAGAAAAAGTTGATGATGGTTTGCAAATGAGAAAAGAAACTGTCAAATTTCCACTGCTGTCTAAGAGAAGAAATGGCGATTCCTGATCTTTCTCTCTGAACTGCTAACAGAATAAAAGAAATAAAGAAGTCCGTAAGTAGCCATAAAATCAATTCCCTACTAGATGGTTAATTATCAAATGTTTAATTAATATTAAATAAGATTTTATTTATTCAGAGCAACTACCAATATGTAGGAATTGGCCAGGTACATAGGTTTTACATAATTGGTTAAATTAATTATAAAAAAATGAAGATCTCTTAATAGCTACATTACCTGAAATATATCATTTAGAAAAAACACACAAACCTATTACTTCAAGAAATACCACATGCAAGTAATATGACCAAAAATACTTCTCTAACCCAGTCTCTAACCCAGTTAATAAATGTTTTCTCTAAATTTGAATCAACTTATTTCTCTCCCCAACTTCCATGAAAGGCCAAAGTCCTGATGGTACTTAGTAGGATGAGTACCTAAAATTTGCTATATAAGCCTTCACATGCAAAAATGCCACTCCTTGTTCAAAGTAATCAGTGGACAGAATTCCAAGCAGTGTGCTATTGGTCTTTCTGGTCTACTCAGGAAACCAGCATATCCAAGAGGACAACTTTCAGATACCAAAAAACTTGGGAAGAGAACACACTAAAGTTGAGACTAGAATAAGCAAGCAATTAAAAACACACAAAAGCTATACAGTCCAACTCATATAATAAAAACAAACTAACAAACAAAGTAGAGACAGACTCTTGGATACAGAGAACAGACTGATAATGGTTAGAGAGGAAGGGGTTGGGGGCTAGGTGAGAAGGGTAAAGGGATTAAACAACAACAATAAAAAAGATTAGTGGACACAGACAATAGTATGATGACTGCCAGAGGGAAGGAGGTGTTGGGGGAGGTAGAAGGTAAAGGAGGAAAAAATGGTGATGAAGTAGACTTGATAAATAATACAATATACAAATGATGTATTATGGAACTATATACCTGAAACCTGTATAATTTTATTAACCAATGCCACCCCAATAAATTCAATTAAAAAACACCATTATATACTCTAACTCATACAAGGAGAACAAAATGGCACAAATTAAAGATACTTCAATTTAGCAATTCTAGTCCTTGAAATTTTTTCTAAAGAAACCAAGATATGGGCAAATATAACCATATACATTTAGCACCTTATTTTTCTAAAATTATAAAAAAAACTAGAGAAATTTAAATGACCTAATATTGGAATTCAATAAATAAATTATGGCAATTATTATAATGGAGTACCAGGACATTAAGAAAATGATTACATAAATGGGTTGTGAGACTAACCAAGTTTTAATTTAGGTACATTTAAAATTGACACATATTACTTGTGCAGTAAGGCAAAAGTGTTAGCTTAAATTAATTAGTGATGGGGAAATTTATTATAAAAAATAAATTATTAAATAAGAAAAATAAAAATGAACTTTGTATGGTCTGAACGCAGTAAAAAAATTTTGGTACTATATCATGTTATTGTTTGTTGTCAGAAGTAGAATGTACTCGGTCAGTAAAATTAGGCAAATGCGACTAAATCCTTAGAGCTGCCTTAAATTTAACACTTATTCCAGTACAAATAACTTCCTCTATAAATAATCTTTTGTTCCTAACATTAAATAAGTAAATTTCTGTTTCTGACATCCAAAAGAACTAAACATACCCTCAGGAATTTTGCTGTGATCAATCTCTAGACTGCTTTTATATTTTGGGGGATCATGACTCCTTTGAAAACTGATAAAGTACACCTGGATTTACTCTTTAAATTATCCTTACTTCTCAATTCAACTACTTTTCCATCTAAAATGAAGTTATCTACAGTTACAAAAACTAAAGATTTCTGAAGAAACAGCTTATGTTCCTTCTGGTGTTACACAAATTAATATTTCATCTACTTTTTCAATATTTGCATGTGAAATATACCTTTAACACTTGCATATGTTTCTGCAATAACACACATTAAGTATATTTGTCCCACACCTCAGGGCAGAATTGACTTTTTTTTTCTTTTGAATGCCTTATAGCATTATCAATGAGTCTATTACCTGAGTTTCCAGGACTCTACTCTATACTCCATTCAGCCAATAAAAAGACAAGAAAATCCACAAATATGTCTAAAAAAATACAGTAAGATTATTTTTTACATTATTTAAATGGGAAATAAAAACTAAAGCAAAAATAAAATTCTCACTGGTAGAGTATTTCTACTCAACTCAACAGAAGTATTTTTAAAAATTATAGATATATTTACCAGCCCAAACTTCTAAATGTAGAGCCCAAAGTGTTGATATTACCAAAATATATGTAAAGATACTGTAATGAAAATAAGGAAGATCCACAAAACGTTCTTAAATACACTCACAGAAAGGTAACTGTTGATGTCCACATCATCAGTAATGGTTTGGCGCTCTCCTTTATAGTTAACTTTCCGAAACCTTCGTCGAGACTGCCTGGCGGGAATTTCTCTTTGGAGAATATTATCTTCATTATCTTTGGAATTCTCTACCTGAAACACATGTTCACATTCTTGATTAAATATCCAATTTTTCCATATCACTGACAGTCTATGGAGTCTTAACAAGCTCATGAGGCTTCATTCACTTCTTGCAAGAAACTGCCTCAAGAAAATGGTCTAATGCTCATGAGTTCAAAAAAGATTAAAGGTGACATCATTATAAACATCTGGAGACCACAGTTTCCTTCCAGGAAACAGTCTCTCTTGCTCACACAAACATACTCTAAGTCATTTACCAGAAATGAAGACTGTTAACTACACCTACACATTCAATAATTATAACTTCTTTGCTAGTCTAATTACAAGCTGCCTGATCATATACATATTTTATTTAGTGAACAATCAAGGATTTTATTCCAGCGAACTTATTAGTATTTGGTGTCCATCTTAATGTATGACATCTTAATGTATGACAATAGCTAAGAGTGAGGCTGGCATCTTTTAAGGAAGAAGGAAAAATTAATATGTATTGAAGGCATAAAATGGACTGGTGTGCCAATACATTATACTATTTAGTTTACACAACAGCCCTGTAACAAGTATTGCTATCTCTAATTTATAGATGAACAAAGTAAAACCCAAAGAGATTAGTGACTTTCCAGTCTCAAAACAATGATACTTACTAAAAGTGAGTTGGAATACAGGCCTATCTCTATAACTTACCCCTACGGACACAAGACCACACTGCCTAATCACAGACTAAACCATACTTATTAAAAATTACTTTTACAAATGATATGTCCTAAAGCATACTTTATTATTAGCTTTGCATCCAATAAGTAACAATTTCAGTCTCTCCCCTCAACTACTTTTTCTACAATGTTGTATCTTTTGCTAATATAAAAAATATCCTGGTCACCCAAGTATGAAATTTCATCAACATTTCCAACTCTTATCTTCAATTGTTTTTTTAGAACTTGTCAATTCTTTTTATAAATCACTCTCACAATATCCTTTCTTTTAAGGAAGAAGGACAGTTACTATGCTAGGCAGTTAGACAGACATGAGCAAAGCAAGGACGATGGGCCAGATATAAAAGGTCACCAGGTTGAAAAGCCCCGGGTGCCTAGCAAGGGACAAAATTAAGAAAACAAGGATCTTGCCCCCAGGATAACTTTTCCTCCCCTAGCACATTGCTGGTCATGCAGTTTAAACACCTGACCTTCTATCCCCTAGCATGTTGCTAGTAATGTGGTAACCTCCTTGCTAGAGAAGGAACAAGGGGCTGAGGAGTAGCCTCCTGGAACTCCCAGGTGGCCCCTTGCATGACCACTCCCTTAAAACACTGACCCGTAGGCATAACTTCTAGGCTTCAGTTGTGTTTCAGCTCCAGGCTCAGAAAAGCAGCAAAACCAGAGGAGCCAGGCCATGGCTGAGTCAGGACCAATTGCACTGACTAATGACCCCTTGCTCTGTCACCAACCAATCAGTAGATACAACAACCCTGAAAGGATACACCTGGAAAGCTGATGAATATTCTATTAAGATCATCCCTTGGGACCTACTCTAAAATTTCCATCCTTAAAAGCCCTTAGGACTGAGGACCCAGCATGCTTTCCCTCTCAGAGATACACCTTCACCTTTCCAGTCCTCTCCACTTCCCCCCAGGTCCCGTCTCCTAAACTCCAAGGGCCCTTTCTTTTGCTTTTGTAACTTGTTTCCTGAGCCCATTCCTTCTACAGCTCACTTATTCTACCTCTGTAACTTTGTAAATAAACTTTCTCTCATAGTTTGAGTCTTGGCTCTGAATTCTTTTTTAGCCAAAACTCAAGTATTGAGATTGCTAAAGCAAGGTCCAGCCTGACTCTACTGGACTAATACCTGGTGCTATTCTCACTGCCAACATTATTACTACTACTTACTCAAGTCTTAATCACTTGAGTCTTGATATATAGTAATAGGTGATCCTGCTGCTTCAGACATGTTCCTCTCTCATTCCATCTGGCACAGTCAGATAAATCACCTAGATAAATCATCATGTCAAGTCTCCTGTTCAAAATGCTACAATGGACCTCCCTAAAGTTACCAAACAAAATTTAAACTATTATATTGGTTAGTCAAAGTTACATACACTCCATCCCCAAAATGTTTTTTATCACTTTATCTTATATGTGTAAGCCTGGAAAAAAACGCTCTCTTAGCTCCTCCCCACCAAAAAAAACCAAGAAACAAAACCCCTAAAATTTCCTGATGATTTCTCAGAAAGAACTGATGTCTAAGCTGCCCTGTTTTAGGTGTGAGAGTTCAAAAGTAAGTGGCCAAGTCAATGTGACTATCCATGGTCCTCATAGATTAGTAACTTATATTCTGCTAAATAACTTATTTCATCAATTTGTATTATCCTACCCATTCTATCTTCACATGCTGAACACTAGCAATCATTTAAGACACATCATCAATACTACCAGAGACATTCCTTTCCTCAGACTATGACTGGTTTATTAAGTGCACACAACCTACACTTCTCATAAACAGAACATGCTCCCCAACAGCCTTCAGACCTTTGCATATGCTGCTGTTACTTCTGCTTAAAAACCCATTCCTCCTTTGCCAGTATCTTGGCATCCTACACAAACTTCATGACCCAGTTCAAACAACTCCTCTTCTGTCCCAGGACAGTGCTACTTCTACAGCACTAAGAATATTGACCATAATTATTAAAGGCTCCTCAAAGGCTAACAAGCTCCCTAAGATAAGAACTGCATTATAGTATATACTAATACTAGTGCCCAGGTGCACAGATCCATGCACATTGAAAGGAAATTAATTAGAAGGTGGCCTGTGGGGTGGGACTGGGCAAGACGGGCCAGACACGCCCTGGAGCCAACCTCCCGTGGCTCCTCCCTGGCAACCCGCACCTGGGGTGGGCGGCACTGTGGCTAGAAGGGGGTCTGTGGAATAAGCAGGGTCCTTCTAACAGGTGTGGTCCTTCGGCCTGGCCTGCAGGGATGGGGCCAAAGCTGGCTCTCTGACCTCCCCTGAGGGTGGATCTCAGGTGATGCACCCTGGAATCAAATTCCCTCTTCTCTGGTTCCGGGGTGTGTTCCCTAAGAACCCCCTCTGCCAAGTCACCGCAGCTCGGCAGCTCCTGCGTTGAGTGTCTGCCCCCTGGTGGTCAGTGCAAATCATACCTACCGGCCGGTTGTACAGTTGGACGGTAGCTTAGCCTTTTATATATATAGATATAGATGTTTGTTCACTTAACATTCAAAAGGTGTGCCATAATGAATATTACATTAAATTCTATTAAATTATCTCTTCCCAAATATGCCAGTCCTTAGAATATGTATAAGTTATTCAAGAAATATACAGGCAGGCAGAATTAGTTACCAAACATTACTCTTCTGAAAGGTAAAATCCAGAAGAGATAGATGGAACTGATTTCCAGCTCAAGTACAAAATTGTGTGTAGTTAGCAAATATATGCTTCTTATAATTCAATTTCCTCTTCTAAAAACTGATGGGACAACCACAGTATTTCCTGAACCACTACACTAGGCCATGTACCAGAAACTTTACGTTGTTTCATTTAAGGCTCACAATGATTCTAGGACAAGCTAGTTTTAACAAGATATTACAGTGTCTCGCAAAACAAGTAACTCACACAAGTGGGTGAGTAAGGTCTCAAAATCCAAGTATGACAAAAAAGTTCATCTCCTTCATATTGCTTTATTCCAAAGGATGAACTAGCTTATCTATCTTAGGTGAAATTCTAATAGCATATGATTCTTAGATCTTTAAATATAGTAATAAATTGAATTTAGGAAAAAAGTTTCTAAGCTTAAATTATGGAGGAAGTATCAAATGAAAGGAAAATTTGAATAATGTATAAAGGTTTAAGTGCCTTTAACAAAGCTCCTTTTAAATACATGCAAAATGTGCCCTGGCCAGTATTGCTCCATAGTTAGGGTGTTGGCATCCACACCACAAGTCAGGTTCAATTCCCAATGAAGGGCACTTACCTGGGTTGCAGGTTGGATCCCCTCCCTTATCAGGAAGGGTGTGAGAGGCATCCAATCAATGTGTCTCTCTCACATCGATGCTTCTCTCTCTCCTCCACCCCAATCCCTCTCTCAAAATCAATGGAAAAAATATCTTCAGGTGAGGATTAACAAAAAATAAGTTAAAAGTTAATTAATTAGTCCTGACCAAACGGTTTGGCTCAGTGGATAGAGAGTTGGCCTGTGGACTGAAAGGTCCCAGGTTCAATTCCGGCCAAGGGCATGTACCTTGGTTGCAGGCACATCCCCAGTAGGAGGTGTGCAGGAGGCAGCTGATGGATGTTTCTCTCTCATCGAGAGAGCAACAAGACTGGGACTGGGCAAGACGGGCCAGGCACGCCCTGGAGCCAACCTCCCGTGGCTCCTCCCTGGCAACCCGCACCTGGGGTGGGCGGCACTGTGGCTAGAAGGGGGTCATAAATAAAATATATGTTTTTAAAAAGTTAATTAATTAATTAACATGCAAGCAAATGTGAAACTCTAAAAAAATAAAACTTTGCAAATGCATACTCAAGTGGTATAAAGTAAAACAACAACAACAAAGACCAAGAATAAAGTGAAACCAAGAACACCATGAGGTAGACTACCAACAAAGCCTCTGATCTACCAGATGATTTCTCAACTCTAGAGACTACACTTTCCACTTTGAGAGTTGTAGAGAACAAGAGAGGCAGGAAATAAAATAGAAAATCCACTAAAGATGGGGAATCCAATAGGAGACTTACTTAGAAAACTTATCCCAAACAGCAACAACCTTCCTGTAAAGGTTAAGCACAGTATAAGTCCCTTCTGCAGGGTAAAGGAGAAAACTTGCTTGTTACTGAGATAAGAGGGAGGAAAAGTAACCAAACAAAAACATTTCCTCTGAGAATTCAGAACATAAGCCATTCTTCATGCAGTTCTGTTGTTCAAATTCACAACACCTTAAGCACATAAGTAAATTTAAAGAAGTTCAAAATTAACAAGGTACATAAGCAACTGACAACAAATC